GCTGCTCCTCTGTGGGAGCCGCCCACCCCGCCCCGGCCGTCGTGACCCAGAGGAGCTCCGTGCAGCCGGGCGGGATGGATCTGGGTCCTCGCCGCGCCAAGCTCCCCCGACCCCTGAGAAAACTCAGTTCCCTGCGTCCGCTTTCCAGTCGAGTTGGTGTGGGTTCTAGGGGCGCTGGAGGCAAAGAAAGACGGACTCAGCTCTGAGGCTGGCCCGCCCGGGAGCCCTGTTTGCTCCCTGAGTTCCTCAGTTCATCTCGCGGAGTCTTGGTTTTCTCATCCGTAAAAAGGCGCCGTTCGGCCTACTCTGCGGACCCTGCGACGGGCACTGGGAGGCAGAGCTCTTAGACTGCTCTGCCTGCAGGGAGCTGACAGCCCCCCGAGAACGATTGTCAGTATAGAAGGATGTCCAAAGAAGGCATTTGGATGCCCCCCGGGGGCTCAGGGAAGGTTACCGAGAGGCAGAGTCTAAAACTGGGTTTTGCAGCATGTAGAGGAGCTCATTAGTAGGAGGGAGTGGCATCTGGGAAGGCTCCAAGCTTAGCGGGGCTTTCGTGGCTGGAGTGATGGGAGCCACTCAGGCCCCAGTGGGTGCTCTGAGTGCGTGAGAACGCGAGCGAGTTGTGATGGTGATAGTGAAAATGTTTGGGGATTGAGCTCTCCCGAACGTTTCAAAAAGGGCAATCGATACTTTTCTGATTGTTCTTTCCAAATGATGTGAAGTGGTTTTACATTGAGTGAGCAAATGAAAGAATATACACTATACAGCCCTAGACCTTAGAAGTAATCAGGTACAGGCAGACCTAGGAGATTTTGGTGGTTGGGTTCCAGACCACTGTGGTAAGGGGAGTATCTTGCTTTCAGTTTGTAAAAGAGAAAGCACCATCTGTGAAGCGCAGTAACAGGTCTGCCTGTGCAACCTTATGGTTCCTTATGCTTGCTTCACGCTGTCTCCCTGTTCCTTTCACCAGCTGTGTCTTCCTCCCCAAGCTTGGGCACACTAAATAAAGCAGGATGAGATGGCTGAGCTTCTTGCCCCGAGTTTTCCTTGACCTGGTCATGCCAAGCAGCTTTATTAAGGGAATTATTAAGGCTTAAGCACAGAAACAGGAGAAACACCTGGCCTCAGCTATCTGGAATGTTGTCATCAGAAAATTTAGGAAGCTGCTGTTTTCATTTCTACCTTCAGTATGATTTTATCTTTACTATTTTCATTTTAAAATTACGGAGAGAAGCCATTAGCCTTTTAGCATCTGGGGTCTATCATTGTTTTTGACATATATCAAGCCTTTATTTTGTGCCTGACACTATGCTAAGTGCTGAACTTGCAGCATCTCATTCAACTCTCAGAACATCCTCAATTTTCAGATGAGGAAATTAAAGCAGAAGGATGAGGTTGTTCACTTAGTCATAGAGCCTCACTCAGCAGGAGTGCTGAGGTTTTCAGCTCAGAGCCTGGGACCTTACTCATTGTTGAAGTTTCTGAGTTGTGGGCTCCCCAAGTCCAGCTGTGTTGTCATGGGTCTCCCAACAATCCCTCTTTTCACAAACTGTAAAAAAACTATGCACATCACATTTCCTGTTTACTCCCTTGTAACAGAACCCTCAAAATCGCCACCCATTGGAATCCGAATTTCTACATCATTTAAAAATTTTACTGGTGGCGAAGGGAGATTGGGATTGTGGAAGAACAAAACTAAGTGGCCAGATTGTCAATAGTTAATTAAAAAGTCACTCAATAATTAAAATAGCTGACAAAAGTATTTAGTGGATTTTGGCATCTTCAGTATAAGGAGATAAACTTGGTAACTGGTAGCGGAATTTCTACATATCATATTCTCAGATGTAAATAATTAAAAAATAGGGAGTTGTCTACCTTTAATGCATATAAATCACCTGGGGATTTTGTTAAAATGCAGTTCCTGATTCTTTAGGTCTGGAGTAGTTCAATGCTCCCCAGGTGATGCCCTTCCTAGGGATCTAGGGACCACACTTGGAGTAGCCTTGGGGTAGACCCAGCCAGGAGTGGAGATGTGAGATGTTGGCTTTTTTTCTGTGGCAACTGACAAGGAACCAGAGGAGCCTTTTGCATCTCTGAGGCCTGGGATTATGGGTGGGTGTCTGCTGCGCAGCTCTGTTAGCAGGAAAAAGGAAAGGCTTTTTGTGAAAATACCCACTTAGAGGTTGCTGTTCGCCTTAGCAAAGACCCAGGCATTGAAGAAAATGCTGTAATGTCTCAGACTGCAGGAAACACTGAGGAGCAGAAAGTAAATTTGAGGAAATAATGGAAGAAGTAATAGAAAAAAGAAAAATAAGCAGTTTAACATTAAAAAGGGTAAACATTTCTTTTTTTAAGGTTTCCCAGAAGTCGTAATTTATATTCCAAAGACTTCTCTCCCCTCGAACTTAAAATATATATGTATATACATACATTTATATCAAAGTTCAGTCCTTTAAAAGAAAGGTAGACAGTTGCTTAATTTTTCAGGTTCTGAAGACAACTAATAGGTGATCTATCGAATTTTTGAATTTCGAGAGTTGGACTGACTTGGTTTGCATTTCTCTCTCACTTGCTGCTGTCACCTGACAAGTTACCAATACTGTCAAGTCTCAGCACCTCTGGAAAATGGGCATCATCATAGCATTGTTGACATATGAAACACTCAGACCCGCGGAGAATTTTTATGAGCTTATTTGAACCAACCTTACAACAATTGCTGGGAAGCAAAATCTCAACAGACTGAGAAAATGCTTCAGAGAATGGCACAGCGTATTTTGCACATTAGAATCAAAGGAGGAGATGTAAGGAGGGTTACATGAAATTCATTGGTGGTAGATTAATGGGGCAGAGGACAGCAGAATAAAACGGAGAGGTGCATACTGCTTTTACTTGGTGGGTACAGGATAGTTAATTAACATTTACAGCAAATAGAGATAGTATGCAGGGAACAAGATAACAATGAGGGGTTCTGTGGTCTCTTGCTCTGGTGGGGAGGTTGGGCCCCGAGGGGCCTGGAAAAAACAACAACAAAGGTCATTATTTTGATATTCCAAAGGCATGTTATTTTAGTTGCAAAAGGACAGGTAAAGATTGACCTTTGTCGAAGCTGCAGGCTTAGCATGTGAACACCTGCCATGACTGGCTTTTCGTTAGGATTTTGTTGTTGTTTAGACCATCCTATGCTGTTACTTCTGTTTCTGAGTTTTTAAGGCCACCATGTAGTTTCTCTTGAGCTTGTCAAGTTTAGTATGTGGCCTCTTTTTCTTCCACAGCACCTACCTCCTAAGGTTGATTACATGAGGAAATGGAGGTAAAGAGCTTGACCTGATTCCTGATATGCAGTAATCACCTCGTACATGAGAACTATTATTATACTGTTGCATGTCAAGTCATAGTGCTTTTGAGGTAGTGCTTTTCTCAGCTGTTGATTGACTTGCTAATTATTATAGGGATGAAAACATTTGCAGCTGAATTTCAGGTCAGATGACATTTCTGCTCATTCTGTTGATAAAGCTCAGGGTGATCTGAAAGGAGAACAAGTGTAATTCTGTTTTAAAAACTTCATGATGGCTAGTATTCCAACTTATTTATTCTTGTTTTTTTTTTAATTTTTTTATTCAATTTACTTGGGGTGACATTGGTTAATAATGTATAGATTTCAAGTGTATTATATATTATTTGTATATTTATCAGCCAAAAGTCAAATCTCTTCTATGTATTTGACCCCCTTTACCCTTTACCGCCCCCCTAGTAGAGGGGTCTGGTAACATCATACTGTTGTCAGTGTCTATGAGTTTTTGTTTGTCTTATTTGTGTATTTGTTGCTTTCAGTTTTATATCCCACATATGAGAGGTTAACATGGTGATGCATGAGGGCAAGCTAAACAGCCATCTCAGATGGTGGGTGAAAAAAAATGGAATTTATTTAAGGAAAGGCGCTGGGGGATGGGATACCCAAAGGGAAGGGCTGCACAGCCAAGGGCACATGGGAGTGATGATGGCAGCCCCTAGGAGCTTGAGTTCCATCCTTCCATGCAGTTACTGGCGGGAAGCTCTTGTCTGCAGTGGTTGTGGGGGCGGAGCTGGTGGGCTTCGAAGGCAGATGGACTGCAGGTGTGCGGTCCAGTGTCTTTAGGACAGTTTCCATTCCTTATATGGTCTGACTCCTGGTTTCCAGCAAGTTTTGTGTATTTTAAAAAAATATTTTTGTTGATTTCAGAGAGGAAGAGGGAGGGAGAGATAGAAACATCAGTGATGAGAGAGAATTAGTGATCATCTGCCTTCTGCATGCCCCCTACTGGGGATCAAGCCTGCAACCCAGCCATGTGCCCTTGACTGGAATTGAACTCCAGACACTTCAATCCACAGGCTGATGCTCTATCCACTGAGCCAAACTGGCGAGGGTGCAAGTTTTTTTTCTGGTCTTTATTCTCCTGTGGCAGGAAGCTTACAAATGGCTGTTAAGGATTATATTGACCTACCAGAGGCCTGGTGCATGAAATTTGTGCATGGGTAGGGTCCCAAGGCCTGGCTGATGATCAGGACCGATTGGGGCCTTCCAGCTGCTGGCCGGGGCCTCCCTTCCCTGGCTGCCAGCCAGGGACTGCCTTCATTCCATGCTGCCCCCTGGTGCTCAGTGGATGTCATAGTGAGTGAACTCCCGGTCTCCCTGTCGAACTCCCGTGGGGACACTTTGCATATTAACCTTTTATATATATAGATATAGATAGGCCTAACATTTCCCTCCTCTTTCTATGTGTTAGTAATTATTCTTATGGGATAGGGGTGAAGCTCTCTATCTTCTGTCAGTCATCCCAAGGAACAAACCCCCTGGTGCTGTAGGCAGGGATATATGAGTAAACAGTTACCCCACATATCAGAAACCAACCAGCTGGCAGCTTAGTATGTCCATTACTATAAGGGAGGGTAAAATTATTAGAATAGTTTATATTGTAGTTGTTAGATACTGATAGACAATAACTAAAACACCTGGTGAAAGTGAGACATTTGCCTCAGGGGGCTGTTGCACCAACCTTTAGAGAAAACATCCTTGCATCCTTTCCCCAGACAGTGGATCCCAATGCATAAAGGTCCCCATATGTGACTTTCTTCCCAAAATGAATAGAATGAGTATAATTCTGTATATTAGCAACAGGTCTCCCAACTCCTACTAGGCAAGATGGAAAAGTCTGTTCTCCACAGGTTCCTCCTGAAAGGCAAGAGTCAGAGATATTAACATTTTTGCTAAATCCACCCAAATATTTTCATCTCTTCTGGACAGAATTAGTTCTCCTTCAGCCAGACCAGCAGTGGTCCAGAGTACAATGATAGTGAATGCTGCCCTGGAAAGGCGACCTTGAGGTGTTTCTTGGGTTCAGTCACCCATTCCTCCCCTTCACTCTGGTGTGATGGACCCAGGGCTTCACCCTGCCAGCTTCAGAGCAGTTGGAGTGCTGAGAAGCACGTCCCAGGGTCCCTCCCATTCATGTTGATCGTTTGGCGATCCAGTTTTCCATCTTTTGAATAGAACTCTGTCTCCTGCTAAGCAGGGATGTAGCGGAACTGTGACAGAAAAATCCCTAGCATGTGCCAAAGCATTCATTACAGTCAGTGTATATTTTTTAAATGTGACTCAGAGGGACTGGCCAATATATTGTGGTTGGGGTTTTTCCTTAAAAAGCTAGAAAGGAAATGAAACATGAATGGAAATGAAATGAGATGGGAGCTCATTTCTTTGGTGCTGGTTGGGTGTCTGGGTTTATGGGGGCATTGAATAAAGCTGATTGATGATACAGTTAGACTTAGGTGCTTGCATTTCTTACAGATATTAATAAGGTCATGAAACTTACAGATATTAATGGGGTCATGAAGCTGTTATTGGAGCGGGGTGGGGGAGTTTGTATGGGAGGGATGAAGTCAAGGGATTTGGAGGCCAAGCAACAAAGTGGCCAGGATCCTGTGCTCTTTAGTTTTTTTGTTTTGTTTGTTTTTTTTCCTAAAGGAGGGGTGGCGATGGGTAGGAATTGTCCTGTGTGCCCAGAATAGTTGTTTTTCTGGTAGGTGATATTTTACATATGGAAAGTGCTTTGTCTTTTGTTGAAGAAAAGATATTATTCATGAGACCTGGGGTGGCTGAGGATTGAGGTACGGGAATCCAAGCAGGGGATCCCCCTGATGGGAGGTGGCAGCAGTGTCCTGCAGGCCAGGCACTCTGAGCCTGTGATGGGAGGGCCAGCCTGCACCAGCACGTTTCTTGTTTCTGTCAATACGGAGAGGCTGAGAATTTTCTGAATTTTTAAGTCTGGTTCCCTTTTGGTTAGCCATTCTGTTTTTAAGTCATTTCTCACATTTCACTGTAAGCATTGAAGAGAAGCAAAGCTGCTTCTGTAACACTTTATATATTCAATTTTGTCATAGGTTCTAACTTCCACAAAACACTAGAACATGAATACAGTTTGGCCAAGCTCTTTGCCACTTTATTACAAGGATTGCCTTTCATCCCTGTCCAATAGCATGTCCCTTGCTTCTGTCTGAGGCCTGCTAGAAGGACTTTTACCTCCATCTTTCCGCTGGCATTCTGTTCATGACTAGATAGGTTTGGTCTAAGCAGGCTGAGGTTTTCTCTGCATCTCTTTTTCTGAGCCCTCACAATGTCCTTAACAGTGTATTCATGGTAATGGCTTTTCCTAGCATGTTCTTCAAAACTCTCCTAGTCTCTTGTCTGTGATTCAGTTCTGAAGCCACATTTTTTGGTGTTTGTTATGGCAGCAACCCATTCCTGGTACCATTTTTGGGGGGTCTTAGTCTATTCAGACTGCTATAACAAAATACCAAGACTGGGTAACTTATAAACAACAGAAATTTATTTCCCATGTTTCTGGAAGATGGCAGTCCAAGATCATGGCACTAGCAGATTTGGTGTCTGATGAGAGCCCCCTTCCTAGTTCATAGCTGGTGCCTTCTCACTGGGTCAACACAGGGTAGAAGGGACAAGGGAGCTCTCTGGGGTTTATTTATGTAAGGGCACTAATTTCATTCATGGGGCTCCTCATGACCTAATCACCTCCCAAAGGCCTCCCCTCCTAATGCCTTCACCTTTGGGGCTTAGGATTTCAACCTGTGAATTTGTGGGGCATGACCATTTAGATTATATAGCAATACTTCTCCTGTCTTTTATGGTTTTACTAATGGCCCAGTGCACGAAATTCATGCACATTAAAAGGGAATTAATTAGAGGAAATATTTTAATATTGCTATTTGCCCTTTCTCTATAATGGAAGTGTGAGAGATGAAAGGAAGTTAGTAAAATGTATATGAAAATAATATATAAATTTACTAGTAAATAAACAGTAACAAAAGGATATGACAACAACAGAGGCATGATATACAAACAACAAAAACGTGATATGAAAACAACAGTGATGCAAACAATGACTGATAAAATGGTTAAACGTA